TGTGTCTTCAACAGAGCCTTACTATCGAGTTCTGGTACCCAGCAAACAGCGGTGGCAATAGCCTGTGGTGTTCTGGGGGCCTTGGGTGCCTTGCTGGCCAATGGTTGATGAGAAAGTATCCCACCCACCCCGGTACGGGGGTTTTCACTGAATAAGCCTGTGGCTTCTGGGAGTCTTTCCACCATGGTGGGGCACCTTTGTTCAATTACTTTAGCGACTGCGTTAATAACCCATTCTCCCTCTCCATTAGCCCAGTGCCCTGGAGGATTGTAATGTAGTTGAAAATGCCATGGGACCTGGTTGTCCTCAGCCCAGTTCCCTCATCAGTGTTTATGGAATGAGCCTCCGTCACTGACAACTCTCTGGGCTATGTGTACATGACCTCAGTGGTAGGCCACCTCACCTGTTGCCTGCTGGCATGGAAGTGCTTCCAGGGGGCTATGCAGTACCCACACAGGGCGCATCTTCATGTCCCACTTACAGACAGGGGTCCTGTACCAGTGCTGTAACCGGACACGCAGATTCTCACATTCGCCTCTGTCTTCTGTTTACGGCGGCTGTAATCGGGAGCAGACCTCCCTCACATGCCTGGACTGCGTACAGAGCATCAGGACATTTCACAGGAATGCCAGAAGCCTTGGCTGCTTTCCGGCTTACATGGCTTCATCCGTGGCCAGACGTTGTATGAGCCCAGGGAATGGCCTCCGCGGTACCTGAGGGCAGTCTGGATTTCAGTAAGGACACCTGTTTCTTGGTTCCCTGGAGGACTTAGTGGGCTGTGGGTTGCCACACGGAAAACTCCCAGGGGCCTCTGACTCACACTGGATTCTGTCGTACGTGCCTGTGTACATGGGCTGTCCTCACTGCGGCTGACCCTGCACTTACCCTTTTCTGTGAGGCCATCCACAGTGGTTCCAGCCTCGTCATTACTACGGCTGTCACAGGCCAGGTCTCATGAGTCGGCTCTATCCACGCCGCTCACAGGGGGCTCCTTCCTCCCGTCTCCAGCCACATGGCGTCCATGCTCTGAATTGCTGCGGCCCCTCACTCTGTCTCGTCCCTTGCTTATGCCATTACTGTGGCACGCTGTTACAGGACAGAAAGGCTGTTACAGGACAGACAGCATCCCTTCCAGCGTCTTCTCCGGTTTAATTAAACAGGGAGGCTCAGGGGCTTGAAAGGACATTGGTTCTAGCACAGCAGTCCACATGCCATGGGCAGCAGGGCTGCAGAACCACATGTTTCTGTACACGTGTTTGATTTTGTGCTGCCACAGGAAGAGGCGTGGCCAGATGATCCTCCGTGCAAAAACGTGGCTTTTATTGCCATGGAGCTGGGGACGGGTTCCGCCCACTGCTGTGTTCTCACACTGTATAATGGATTTCTGTGGCTAGCCATGATTGGGATCAAAACCCCACTGGGTTGTCTTCTCACTTTCTTCCTGCCTTAGCCCTCAGGACTTCCAGTAACTTCCAGCACACAAGGGCACACATCTGTTTTTCCCATCCTACAGGGACCTTAGTGGGCTCAAAAGCCTCCTAAAAGTTTCAGTCCCTTTCCTACAACAGACCCCTTCCTCCCACTT